GGGTGGCAGAGGGGACAGCAGGTGGGGCAGGGGGTGGAAGGAGCTACGAGGGGAAGGGCAGGGGGTGGCAGAGGGAACAAGGGGGATGGAGGGGATAAAGGGGGCCCCTCGGGGGCAGGGGCCCCCCCCCAGGAGGCTACAAGTGCCACGAGGTCCCTGACAACTCCCCTGTCTCCTCTGCAGATGTCCCCAGCCTTGCTGCAGCCACAGGCCACCATGGTGGCCACCCTGGGCAAGCTGGTGGCCATCACGGCCAGGAAGGATGGGGATGTGCTGCTGCCCATGTGCCAGCCATCCCTGCGCGAGGCCCTGAAGAAGTTCACCGATAACCTCAGTGTCACCGTGCACGACACTGGTAACGTCTTCTGGCACCGCGATGTCACCTCTGGGTGCGATAGCGCTGTCCCCTCCCTGAGCCAGGCCCTGGCAGCCTACGCGAGCACCTCATGGACCACCTGGGAGCACGTGCGAAGCGTGGCCAGCACGTGGCAGGAGTCAGCGGCCACGCTGGACGACAGCTGGGCCCAGCTGACCAGGGAGGTCACCAAGCTCCGGGACGCCTGCAGGCACGTGGCCCTCAGCAGCTGCAGTGTTGTGGCCATGGAAGAAGTCTTGAAAAAGGCCATAAAAGAGGCCATGGTGGGGGCCATAAGAGAGGCCTTGGGAGGTGTCATAGACTATGAGGTAGGAGAGGGTGTGGGAGGAACCGTGGTGGCCGAACACCCGGTGAGGGTGGTCACCACGGTGAGGCAGCAGGCGAAGGTGGCCCTGGGGCTGCTGGGGCGCCTGGTGACCGCGTGCAGGAAAATCACCGCGTTCTACCGGGAGCTGCGGCGCAGGGTTGGGGAGATCGTAGGCACCATGAAGGGGGCAGAGGAGCCATCCCATGATTTCCACGCTGCCTTGGCAGCCAAGGTGGCTGTGGCCGAGCTGCTGTGGGTGGCCAGCAGCCAAGTGGCCAGGGATTACCTGGTGGGGGCACTTGAGAACATCTGCACCATCTTCAGGTGTGGTGATCCCAATGGCTCCACTGCCTGAGTGGTGGCCAAGTGATGCCAAAGAGCCACCAAGGACATCCCAAGTCTGCTGCAGGGATGGCGATGTCACCAATGTGATGTCATCAGGGCAGTGACATCATCGGGGACATGGCTGGCGTCACTTGTCCTTTCCCCCCTCCCCTTGTGGGATTTGAGACAAATCTGGGGAATTTTCTGGGAATTTTCATTGAAATTGAACCAAATCCTGATGGGAATTTTTTGGGGTGATGTCACTGGGGACACTCAGGGACAGACAGGGACACTCCGGGGACACTCAGGGGACAGGGCTGAATGAGTCCCCTCAAGAGCTTCCAGCTTTCCACTGTGTCTGCAGCAGAGATGGGTTATAAATGACAAGTTAATAACTGGCTTTTGCACTTTTGTATTGCCTTTTGCACTTTGTTACTAATCACCAGCAATCTGATACGGTATTTGGTACTGATATTGATTATTGATGATTCCTTGTAGCTGCTCGTTGGTGCAATATAATCTATCAATTTATGTGTGCACCGTACAGCCAATAAGTAAATAAATAAATACCCTATATAAATAAATACCCTATATAAATAATATATAATTATAATTATATAAATATACCTATATAAATCAGAGCGGGCTGGTCTGAACTCTGTGTCAGACACATTATCTGACCCCATTTAGAGATGAGTGGTCAATAAAGCCATCCCAACGTTCCTTGAGGGGAGCACAGCCAGGGAGCTGCTTCAAGGCGCTGTCACTGAGGTATTTCCCCTTGGAAACCCTGCCTGGGATGGAGACACTGGGGACACTGGGCTGGTGGCACTGGGATGGAACTGGTGGCACTGGGTTGGTGACACTGGAATGGAACTGGGGACACTGGAACACAACTGGGAACACGGGGCAGGCTCTTTGTTCTCACAGCCTACCCGCATCATGCCGCCTGTGCCCTGGCAGCAGGAGTGACTGAAAGCCTCCTTCCCCCAGAACCACTGGCACATAGCAGCAGTCGGGGAGGAGAAACTTTCCCGGGGATCATCATCCCGGACCCGGGGTTTTAATTCCCCAGAGCAAGCAAGCAATGATCGCTTTCCACTATGCCACCCACCCCTGCAATGCAAATGGCAGCGTTCCTGCTTTCTGCCCCTTGGCACCACTCCCATCCCCTCCAGGCTCGGGAGTGGAGGCAAAACCTCTGGGAGCCACCCCCCTGACACCTCTGGAGCACGTGGGGGGAGTCAGGCATTCCAAACCCCAGCAAGAAGCCCCCGACCAAATGCGAATCGGCCCATGAAAAATGCTGTGTCCCAGAAAAACGCTGAGTGTGAGTGTTCACTCTTGCAGCACCGGCTGTAAGCAAACGAGCTGGGCTGCTTCCGCGGCAGGACAGGCTGTTTGCAGGGCCCGACACAGATGCTGATGTGGAGGACAGGGTCCCCAAAGGCGGCACAGCCAGCGGGGTTGGCCCCCACTGGCACCGTTGTCACGAATTCAATTGCTGGCTGCGATGCAGAGGGACCGGGCGGGCTGTCCAGCGCAGGGCTGCCGGCCGCCTCTCGCTGGGACCCTCTCAGAGGGTCTGCGCCCTCCCGGAGTGGGGGGGATGGAGAATCCCTCAGCAGTGCTGGCCGGGAATCTCCCTTTGCAGCCGCCAGGGTGTCCTCAGGCAGGCAGACAGTGGCGGAGGCACGCTCCCTCTCTGAGACAGGCTGTTGTCGCTCACCGCTGCTGGCAATTGCATTGCCTGGCAACACGAAGACAGGCTCTCGGAGATCGGTGGTCGCTGCTGCTGTCAATTGTGTTGCCTGGCAACCCGGGCAAAGCAGTGAGAGGTGATGCTTCTGCAATCACAACGGTGACAAGCTTTGGGAGGGATGGACAGCATGATAATGACCCCGACAAGGTCAGGTGCACAGGGCACATGTTGTGGAGTCTGGCAAATCCGGGGCCATCTTAATACACCACCTTCACTGCAATGATCAATGCTGACACCAACCGAGAGACAGTGGGCTCTGTCCCAACAAGCTTGGAAATTATGAGAGTATGATCAATGGCCCAATGCAGGCTCATGTCTGTGCTGTGATTAAGGACTTCAAAGAGGAAACGAGGGAGGAGATGAGGAGGAACAATTCCCATGGTCGCTTCTCCCCACCCGAGCTGATTTTTAATAAAGGCATTAAAAAGGAGAAAGATCTCCTGCCTTATTTATTCCACTATTACTAAGAGGTTTCTAAAATATATTAAAAAGACTCTTCCAGTTAAAAGCCTGAACCCTGGCCAAGTCCTGGCCTTAACTAGTAGAGAAAATGTTCTGCACCAAAATTATATTCAAGTAATTTTGACTTACCAAATTTGGACCTGAAACAGCTAAACCTCCTTTTGAGGTGAACTTACAAATCTTCCCTGGGAATGATTTTCTAAGCCCTCACTTTAAAAAATAAACCTTGCCAATTACTACAGACTCTAAGTAATAGTACAATATTAAAGAAATTGATAAGGCATTGTTTTAAATCACCATTCTATTTTTCACATGCTACTAATTGTATCTATTATCTGATTTATTTTTACTTAGTTTATTGTTTTATGACATATTGTTATGCTTTTATGTTACCCTCATGTTCATCATGAGAAACACACATGTTATTAAAAAACAAAAACTACAGGGGGAATATAGCTCTTTCAGAACTTTACACTGATATTTACACAAAAAATTAGGGGAAATATAGCTCCTCCAGCATTTTACACTGGAATGTTTTTAAAGCAAACCAAATCATATTCAATTGGATCCCTTACCCTCCTGAAACACCATTGGTGGAACCCCAAGAAACAGAGCTCCTGCGTTCTGTGAAATTGGATTTTTGTGTTAATTTTAAATACATGGAAAGAAATCAGTCTAAAGCTTAGGATGTTTCTCCCTATCACCCTGTGCCATATGGCACCAGTGCAAGTCACAGGCCCCAAAGTCAGAGCCCAGCGTCCCCCAGCTAGACTCAGAGGGTGCACCCCAAGAGCTGACCTGTGGCTCTCCCTGCATGACCACGGGCAGACATGGGAAGGTGGGATGGGAAACACACTTCTGTCCTGGCAGCACGGGTGCATCAGCTCAGGGAGGGAAACACCAACAAAGGGAGTTCCACTAAAGTGAAGGCAGCCTCACCCTCCCATGGCCGAGCTGCCAGGTGTGATCTGTCAGATCCCCCTGAAGGAACCTCTAGCATGTATGCCCAGGAAAGAAATAACAACCAGGGCTGGAGGGGCCCTGCCTGTAGCCAGGGAGAGGCACAGGAAAACCGTATCTTTTGGATGGTGTGGATGCGAAGGCCAACCACAAAAATATGAAGCGTTGGTTGATACTGGTGCACAGTGTACCCTAATGTCATTGGGACATGTGGAGGCAGAACCTGTTTCTATTGCTGGGGTGACAGTGGGATCGCACCTGTTGGAAGCCGAGGTGAGCCTGACTGGGAAGGAGTGGCAGAAACATCCTGTTGTGACTGGCCCAGAGGTTCTGTGTATTCTGGGCACAGACTTCCTCCGGAATGGCTATTACCAAAACCCAAAGGGACTCAGAAGGGCATTTGGAATAGCTGCTGTAAAGACAGAGGACATTAAGCAGTTGAACACCTTGCCTGGACTATCAGAAAACCCATCTGCAGTAGGGCTCCTGGAGGTGGAAGAGCAACGAGTGTCAATGGCCACCTCGACAGTGCACCGCTAGCAGTATTGGACGAACCAAGATGTCATGATCCCCATCCACAAAATGATCCATGAGCTGGAGAGACAAGGGGTGGTCAGCAAGACCCACTCACCCTTCAACAGCTGTGCACAAGTCTGACAGAGAATGGAGATTGACTGTGGACTATCGTGCATTGAATGAAGTGACTCCACTGCTGAGCGCTGCTGTGCCAGGACGTGCTGGAACTCCAGTACGAGCTGGAGCCACGGCAGCAAAGTGGTATGCCACTATTGACATTGCCAACAGGTTTTTCTCCATTCCTCTGGCAGCAGAATGCAGGCCTCAGTTTGCTTGCACCCGGAGGGGCGTGCAGTACACCTGGAACCGACTGCCCCAGGGGTGGAAGCACAGCCCCACCATCTGCCATGGACTGATCCAGGCTGCCCTGGAAAAGGGTGAAGCTCCAGAACACCTGCAGTACATCAGTGACATCATTGTGTGGGGGAACACAGCAATGGAAGTGTTTGAGAAAGGAGAGAAAATCATCTGGAATTTTCCTCATTCATTTCCCGTCAGACTCCGCCCACTTTCATTTCCCTCCAGAGCCCACCCCATTTCCACACCCCATTCATTGTCTGCCCAGGCCCCGCCCCTTTTCCAGGCCCCATTCATTGCCCGCCCCTTCCCCACCCCAGGCCACGCCCACACCCCTACCAATTGGCTGCCACTCCCTGGGCCCCGCCCATTTCCCCACACTCTCGGGGGGGGGGGGCGGGGGGGGGGGGGGGGGGGGGCCGGTAAATTGGGGGGTGCCTGGTGATAACTGGGGGTCCTGGCTGATAATGGGAGTGAGACAGGGCTGAGCCCCAAGGGACCTCCCCAGTGCTGGGTACACCCCCTGTGCCTCGGGGCTTCCCCGGTCCCGCTTCTGGGCACCCCCCACCAAGTCCTGGTGCTGTTCCTGGGGGGTCCCGCAGCTCCTAGGGTGTCAAAGAGGATGGGGCAGAACCCCAGTGAAGGGTGGGGGGACACAAAGGGGGGTCCAGGCCCGGTGCTTGGGGGGGTCGGTACATGAGGGGGACTCAGTCCCAGTCCTAGTGCTCGGTGGGGTGGGGGGTGTCAATGCACGGGGTCATCCCAGTGCCTGGTGGAACTTCAGTGTCCACAAGTGTCCCCAGCGATGCCACTGCCCCGATGACATCACAGCGGTGACATCACTGTCCCTGCAGCAACCTCGGGATATCCTCGATGGCTTTTTGGCACTGCTCAGCCACGTGGGCTACCAAGGCCACCGCGGCCACCGTGGCCACCATAGCTACTCAAGAGGAGTTTGTGGATGTCCCCAAGTGTCCTCAGCAGGTGACACATGGCCTGGCAGGCGCTGGCCTCCCACAGCTGCTCAGCCTCTGCCACTTTGGCCACTAAGGCCTCGGGGACATCATGGGACGCCTCATTTGTCCCCTCCATGGTGGCCTCGATGTCCCCAAGCCGGCATTGCAGCTCCTGGTGGAACGCAGTGGCTCTGTCACACGCGGCCATCAAGCGCTCCAGTGGCCCCAGGGCCGCCTCTGCCTGCTGTCCCCTCCTGGTGGCCGCCCTCACCCAGCTGTCGGCCGCCATGGCCTCTCTCATGGCCTTGGTGGCCGCTTCCTCCTCACTGGTGACCGCCGCCAGCCAGGCCTCAAGCGCGGCCACCGCCGAGGCCACCTCCTCCTCGGCCAGGGCCACCGACGGCCGCCGGGCCGCGGCCACCAGGCTGTGCAGAGATGTCCCCCAGCGGGTGGCCTCGTCCTGCAGGTTCCAGGCACGGGTGGTGGCGACGGTCGCGACGGCGGCTGCAGCGACGGCCGCAGCGGTGGCCGTGTCCCTGCAGGGGTCACGGAG